AATGTGATTTTGAAAAAATCATTACCATTTTCATCTGAATCTTTATTTTTTCGCGAATTCTTTTAGATTGCGTAGATTGTATTTTGTTTTCAAAATAACATTATTTGTTGTTATTAATTCATATACACCTTGATATACAATAAATAATTTATATAATATAATTATTTTTTAAAAATTTTAAAAATTCATTTATTTTGGAAAAATTATCACTAAAAATATTTATAAAATATAATATATATTGTTAGTTAAAAACTTACTTCATTACAGGAAATATTCCTTTCTTTTCAAATTAAAATGTATTATATAGAAATATTTTCAATTTGACAGCTACATTAAAATCTGACGTTTTAAATTTGAAAAAATCTAATCCATATTGAATTCGTAATGTGAGATTTTAAAAAAATACATGAGATTTTGAAATATTGAATAGCCGTGAGATTCTGAATATTTAAATGACCTCCAATGTATTTGACGATAAAAATCAAAATCTCATGAAATCACTTTCACACGGTATGAGCCGTGAGATTTTGATGGTGTGAGAATTCGAAATCTCACGGCAATCACTTTCACACGCTACACCGGCTTGCCCCAGGTATTTTAAAAAACTAAAATACGGCCTGGCCTATGTACCCAGGCTAAGAGGCGGACCGGACCTGCAGGTTATGATTATAATAAATGAGGCTATATGTTTTCTAAGCAACCTCTCTCTTAGAGTAGCATCATTATATTTTTTAATGTGACTTGAACATAAAATTGTGTCCCTTTAAGGAAAAAAAATAAAATGGCTCAAAAGAAAAAAATATTCATTTTACAATTTTAAGTTGTGTTAGTTTTATCCTATATAATTGAGGATATAACTAACCCAGAGTTGTTAACGCTCCTTTTTAAAAGCAGCTAGCTCCCGCTTCTACCTTCTCAAAAGGAGATAGCTCCTGCTCCCGCTACTACATTTTTAAAATGAGCTATCTCCCGCTCCAAGTAATGGAGTGCTACTCCATAACTGCTCCTTTGATTTTCATTTTTTTAGAAGTACACAAAACAAAATCATATTTTTTTATCAAAAAGTATATTAAATGGTCTATTTTCTAAAATTAGAATCTAACAAACATCTACGCCTCTCCCCTAAGACCTGTTTTGCAAATACTAAATAAGGGCTCCATAGGAAGACTAGAGGAAAGCGGGGTATTGTATTTTATAATAATATTTTTTAATTCAGGTATAAAAATGAGGTTGAGCAAGTAATGAGAAAATTAAAATAAATATTTAAAAACGCATCATATCTAGCAACTGCTCAACTATTGAGAAGCCTAAAAATAATATAACCATTTTAAAAAAAATTATTCCAAAATAAAAAAAAATATAGTTATTATTTCGTAATTATTACTTTTAGATTGGAGCTGCTCACTTTTGAAAATGAAATACATTTACTTAAACATAAAAGGCATTTTGCACTTAAATTTGGATCAACATCTTTTAGAAGTTTAAAATATTTTTTGTATGATGGAAATGGAAATTCTATTTCTTCTTCTATGAAATCAATCCATAATATCGAAAACTATATTTTATTATATATCTATGAAATGAATATTAATATGACTTACAAGGTTTTTCACAAAATTTTCAATATAAATGAAAAACTTGATGTTTAATATTTAAATGATTAGAAGAAAAACCAATATAAAACTCGGCTCAACATTTAATAATGAATAAATTTAAATAAAATAAAATTTCAAACAAATATTATAAATTTTTAAATAATAATTTAATTTATAACTTAAATTTATAGGAGCGGTGGAGTGGCGCTCCTCCACTCCATCCTTAAAAGGAGCTAGCTCCCGCTCCTCATTTTTAAAAAGTAGCGCTCCAGGTGTTTTTGAAAATATGAGCGCCGCTCCTTAACAACTCTAAACTAACCCCTAGAAATCTCGACATTATAATTGCACCTCTGAATTCAGAACTATCTATGGTCACTACACTGTAATTTATAAAAATAAATAACTTAAGAGATTATAAAAAGTGGAAAAACTGGAAACCAAAAGAAAACACAAAATAAAAAATATTTTGCACACAAAATGATTGGTGTAAAAAACTGGAAATACAATAATATATATGAAAAAAGAACTCTAAGGACAATATGTTGATAAAAAGTCAGGGTAGATTATAATATGACTGGGTATATATAAATACTTAACAGCATCAATTAAAATATCTTTTTACTATAATGATAAATGTAAATAAATGTATACTCCTTTATGGTCATTATTTGTAAAATATTTATATTTATTCTTTATATTAGTCATTTCATAAATCATAATAAAATAATATGGACAGTCCAAGATTAATTATGTAACCAAAAAATTGGGTTTTACATAATATTATAAATGGATCATAATTTAATGTTTTTATGGTTGGGGTTGGCCTACACAATATTAAATTAATTTGATTAAAAGCAATCTTTTGTATACTTGTTCCTAATCTCCCCTGGTAATATTAAGATTTCGGATATTTATATTTCGTTAAAACGAATTTGACTTTCTTTAGTAGCAAGACACTCATCTTAATAAAAAATTCGGATTGGATAGAAAATCTAATCTAAGCACGTTGATCTAGCTACATAGATAAAATTTTTTTATAGTAATGAATTATGAACTTTAAGATGTGGGAAGTCGAGAATTAAAATGAATTTTCTTGAAAATAAAATATGACCTTTTCTTATAACCAATATAAGAAAAGATAAAAAAATCATTATAATAGGAGAGAGAAAGGTGAGTGAAAATTAATATATTTTTATAGTTATTATTTAAATTTCAATTTTTTTAAAATTTTTTTTATAATGCCCCAATTAGTTTTACCATAGAATAAACCCCAATATAAAAACCTAGATCTATCCATTTAAAGTATAGAATCAAAAAATATTTTCATTACCTTTTTTTTGATACCTCTATCAAATTTTTTTACCTCCCACCCCTCCAACTTACTACCATACTCCCCCCACGCCTCCCAGATCAAGTCCACCATCAAAAGTGAATTCTATTATTTCAAATAAAATATTAATTAGCCTATATTTGATACCATATTGATATTTTGTGTTAATAAAAATATTTCTGACCCATCAAGGCCGAGATTCGCCATTAAGTGGGGGAGGTTGACCTCCATTGGATAGATCTTTTGATTAGCTATCGATTGATATCTATATTGGGATATATCTACTCTCTAAAGTCAAAAATTTTAACTATAAATAATAAAATTAAAAATAAAGAAAAGGAGACGCGCGTAAAACGCTTTTTAAAATAAGATTCCTCTTTATCATGGTTAAAAATAACTGATGATTCCTTATAATTCCTTATCTTTTAAAAATTTGAATTCTTAAAGGGGTCTCTTTAGATCCCGTGATGATCTTGGATAGTTCTGATCCTTTTAAAAATTACGATAAAAATAATGTACCGATATTTTTTATCAGATCGGATCAGGCCGATATTTCACCCATTTTAAAATATCGATTGTCGGTCAAAATTATAAAATTTTCCGATCCGATATAAAATGGCGTCTTTAACAAAAATAAAATGTTTTAAATTTAAAAAAAAAGTTATATCTAAAATCATTTATTATTATAAATAAAATCGAAATCCATTTTTGTGTGTATTTTTTTTATAATAAATAATTAATAAACATTCTGCAATATTGTTATTTTTTTGAGCATTCTATTTATAAAAGTTTGCTCAGAATCTGTTTTTAGTGAAGCTGGTGATATTGACAGTTACCATTGCCGCAGGCTGACCTCTTATAAATTGGAAATTTTGGTATTTCTAAAAAGAAATCTTCGATATAATGTTAAATTTTTAAATATTTATTTCAAATTTCATAATATATTTGTTTATTACTTATTATGTATATAGATTAATGTTATTACATATTATATAAAAGTGATTTAACAATAAAAATATTTTAAATACTTTTAGAATTGCAATTAAATTGAATTTAAACTCTAACTGATCATTATAATATATTTAAATGACATAAGTTATGGTATAGTTAAATTGTAGATGTTATACTAATAAAAAGTATATTAAAAATTAAAACCATTGTCTTTACAGAATACAAAATTAGATATGATATTGGATCGGTAATCGGCGATATCAATTTCAATATCGGGAATATCGGATCGGCCTCCAAAAAGTGGTATCGGTACATCCTTAAAAATAATCTTAAAATTGAACGAACGTCAAAACGAACGCTTTCGTCCAAAAAGGAGCATCTTCACGTTCTAAGTTAGTCAAAAATAAAAGAAACACTTTCATCATTTTTTTCAAAAAAACGAACTCATGGATGCGTTCAATTACAATATTAGATGATATAATTGAATATTAATGCTAAATAATCTCTTAGATTAATAGTTTTAAGTGTCTGTCCTGATTCGACTTGTATTACTAAACAACCTGTTGTATAGCTTCTGCTAAATGGCCTAAAAAGTAAGAAAAAAATAAAAAAAACAAGAAAAGGAAAGGAAAGATCTACGAAAACTAACAATGCCATCAAATACTTAAAACAAACCATTAGTTCAGAAGCTGTTTAGCCTAACCTCAAAAATATGAACCAAAAATAAGTCGAATAATTATATTTTGACATTTATACATTAATTTTACTGGATCAAGCCTTATACCCTAAAACTTCTGCCCCTCTTCTGGGACAAAGTTATTATTTTATTAAATTTTTTAGGTCACCTTATATGTGCTTTTGACTAATTATTCAAAGCATTTTATAAAGCGACATATAAATTTTTTCTATTTTCTTTTATTTATAGTTTTGCCGATTTAGAAAGTCCAGTTTCATATGGTTATTATGTGGATTATTTGAATCAAGATATTGCCGATTAGGCTTTCTTGGTGAAGACGGTTTTTTAAAATTATATATTTTCTTTTAACTATTAATAATATAATTTATCCACTCCTCCTTCCAACAAATAATTTTATTCTTTTATATAAATTCCCTGAAATTACCAGGACGCTAGTGAGCTGATCAGCATGAAACGTCTCAAGAACGAAATAATCGAAATGGCCGACTGGCAACTCACCAAACTCATAAGGGAACACGTATACATAGGCTGTGTCAATGCCCAAAACTCGTTGATTCAACATAATACCGGTCTTTATCTGGCTAACAATCGCAAATTAGCTAAAGAGTTATATTACCAACTTTTAATCAAAAAGTTCGGTCGATTAAGCACTCTTAAAGCTTCCCCTGGAAAAAACGGAGAAGTTAGGAAAGGTATTGTCAATTAAAAATGTAGTAGGAAATGGTAGTAGCAGCCTTGGCAGCAATTTTTCAAACATAAAATAAACATTTAATTATGAAAAGTTATATATCCATCTGGTATGATGTTATATATTTATCACGGATCACCAAACCTTTTTGCTTTCTTGTTCCGTTCCCGTTCTGGTGTATTATTGTAAAATTAATACCATCTAAAATCAATACGGTATTTATAATTTATGACCTAACCACAACTTTTACTAATGAATTAATATTTTAAAAATTTAATGGCCTCCAATATTTTTGAAGTGATGAATAAATTATTTACAAATTTAATGGCTGCTAATATATTTGAAGCGATGAAAAAATATATAATAAATAAATATTTTACAAATTTAATGGCCGCCAATATATTTGAATCGGTGAAAAAATATATAACTATTTTAATTAAGCGTGGGTATAAACCAAATATTATTATTGTTCTTGAATACATAATTTAACTTTTTATTCAATTATCAATAAATTCCATTGCAAATAAAATATATCAAAATCCATAATTAATTTTATCTTTCCTTTATTCAGAATTACATTTTAAATAAAGAAAAATACATCATGAAAATAATGTAAAAAAATGAGTATCCAAATATATCGAGGTTAGTGTAAAATAAAATCTTGATAATGAAAATAAATTTAATCTTGGAAAATAAAAACTGTAAAATTAAAAGTTGGAAAAATAAATCCCGAAAACAATAAATGTAAAATAAAAACTGCGAAAAAAAAGAATGTAAAAAATCTTGGAGGTTAACTAAAAATAAGTAATATAATCATTCTCTAAAAGGATCTTTTTGGCATCGTGTGTTGCTCGACAAACATTTTCGGTGCCTGGGAAGGTGGTCAAAGGCATTTTAATTATTTACAAAAAGTTAGTTTAATTTAATGAATAATTCTATATAATTTTATGCAGAACAAAAATCTTGTTACGTAATCTAACTAAAGTTTGTACTACCATCCTTCTCTTTGTGAAATCCAAAATATTTTCGAAGCTTACCAAGATATTTTAACATTTAAGTCCGTTTTTTGGTATACTTGTAGAAAAGGGTGCTACATTCTTTATTTCATCTTTCTGAATCATTTAAATGTCAACCTCATCAAATGTTGAGTCAGAAAAATGTTGTAACTTCACAATGCTTATAATATATCATTTATTAATTGTGCTGTAAAGTATCATCGTTACTAACCGCGTTTATGAAAGTAACGTTGTTACTAACAGCTTTACTTTATTTGTTACTTCTTTTAAAGGTAACGAGTAATGAGTTTATAGTAACGGTAACGCAAAACGTTACTCGTTACTTAAAAAATATGGAAAAAATTAAAAATTTTATAATTAATTTAAATCGAGTTTTTAATTCAGATCAGTTCATTTTTATTTTATCATTATATTTTTGTTGCTGAATTTTGTACAGTCAAGTTTGTTAATACAATTTAAATTTAATCAATTGAACCGGGCTTCAGTTACTGGTAAAATAGAAGGTGACACCTCGCCATGTGATCTGGTATGCGTTATTTTAAATTATTAAAAGAAACTACAACACTTATATTTTAAATTTTATTAGAAAGAATTTTAATTTATAAACCAAAATTATTTTAATTTAATAAGTAAAACATAAATATATTTTCGAAAATAATATTTTCCAACTAATTAAAAAGTATATCTTGTAAACATAAAAATTAGTCCCATTTATAGGGAAAATAAAAGCACAATTATAAATTAAAATAAAATTGGCGCAAAGTGAAAAAAAGAACATTGCGAAAAGGTGTTGTGCTAGTTTTATCTTACATAATTGGGGATAAAACCTACCCCCTTAGACTTTCTGGAACCCATATACCTCTGGATGCAGTGCGATCTCCCGGACCTAATATCTAACTTATATTTGCTGAACACCTTACTTAGGACTCCAAAGGTAAGAAAAACCCTTAAATAAAAGAAAACACAAAAACCATATGTTTTACTTTTAATGTGCTTAACTCAAAACAAAAGAGAAACTTTAAAAAAAACTTTATTTAATTTTTATGAAGGGTATAAAAAAGCTATATTTAATTGAAGTGTATTTAAGGTTAAACAAAAGAGGAATAGCAAACTAGATTAAAGTAAAATATGGTATATCATATTTAACATCAATCAAGGTATGTTAATTTATATTCTACAATATTATAATTTATTTTATAATGAATATATGTCAATAGTACTTATTTCTTCATATGAAAATGATTTAACTCTGCCCTGGCTCCAGTAGAAAACATTTTTTACACCAATAAAATATATGGGTATTGTATACACTTGTAAGTGTAGATTGTGCCATTTATATATTTCAAGTTTGATGTCCAGCAGCTCAAATCTAAAAAAATATATGAAGTTAAACATATGTTTAGCACAGCGAAGGCTGTGTTATACAATTGCGCTATTGTTTGTCGGATCAAAATTTTGAAAATTAATTGTTAAGAATCAATAAAAAATTATTACAAAAAGGACTTATCTTATAATATATTATTTTTGTATAATTTTATTTTTATTATCTATTTATTTTAAAAAAAAAAATGACAGGAAAATTTATATATAATATTTATTATTTTTAAAATAACGAACGAGTAACCACTACATTTTTGATTAACGAGCATCGCCTTCCCTTCCTTTTTCACAAGGTAACGAGTAATGGTAACCCATTCTTTTTTCAAGCGTAACGCATTTAAATTTTGACGGTGGTATTAATATATGTTTGAATGTCTAAATATCCAACGAAATTTAAAACCTTTCATTTTATTTTATAATAAAATTTTATAACAGTTATAATTATTTTAAATTTGATTAAAAAATGTTTATTTAATCTTAAAATTACATAATAATATTAATAGTGAGTTATTTTAATATTGTTATGTGAAGCAAACTGGAATTAAAGAAAGAAAAACTAATATTTATGAATGAGCCAGCCGTTATAAATATTATGTAATAAATTAAATAAAAATTTTCATGATATTTTTCCCAGAATCACCGTTCATAAAAATCAATATTATCTATTTTTAAAAAAAACTAAATTTACGAATAATTAGTGTATGTTGTTTTTTTATATTCCAAAAGTTAATAGTCTCATAAAATATGTGTAATGTTGACTAAATATAGTATTGTTAACGGCTAAATCAACATTATTGCTTACCTCAAGATTTTGCAAATAGAAGTCCAATCTCCACTTGGGTAAATTATTATTGGTTAAAATCTTGAATTAGCCGTTTTTCAAAATCGGCTAAATTAATCCGGTTAACAACTCTAGCTTAATTAACTCTTCTCCGTTTTATGGCTATCTCCAGGTTTACCCAGGTATGCCAGTTTCTCTCTGATTTTTTCCCCCATTTTTGACGGTCCTGAGCAAATATTTGCAAGATCCATGCTTCTCATATCCGCCGCTAACACATTTGTCCAAGTCATCTTGGGCCTTCCTCTAGGTCTTGATCCTCAAACTTCCATCAAGGTGTATCTCTTTACCCAGTCATCTTTTGTCATACGTTCCAGATGCTCAAACCATCTTAGTCTATTTCATCGCTTGCTCGCAATTCCTTGCTAGTTTTTCTTTCTCTCAGAGATACCCCAAACATCCATCTAATCATCCTCATCTCTGTTCTTTCTAATTTGGATTCGTGAGTCGCTTTCATTGCACATGTTTCGCCGCCATAAACTATACAACTAACACAGCTTATGTAAACTTTCCCCTTTAACTTCAGAGAGACTTTTATTTGCTGAACTTCTTCCATGCTATAACGGCATAATCTACACCACCATCTGCCTTTATCATATCACCCAAATAACAAAACTTATTCAATATTTAGACCACCATTTTCTACATTATCATTATGATGTACCCCTTTTATCCATGTTCTACAAATAAAGGTAATTTTTGCTAACATAAAATTACCTTTTTTCCCGTTACATCTATTATATACCCACTTCTGGTATCTGGTACATTGGATTTAATTCTAGCAACTTCTTTCCCACATACACCACAAGACCACTTACCGGATTCATCCATCTTTAGATATTCCCCACCAATCACCATCTTTGTCTTTGCTGTATTCATTTTTAGGTCCCTTGCTTCCATAGCCATCTTCCATTTATTAATTTTATCCCTCAATTCTCCCTCACTGTTTGCCATTAATACAAAGTCATCTGTAGCTCCCAGGGAAGTCCTTCACTTATTTCTCTAGCCACCACATTCATTTTTTCCTTCGCAATATACTTCTATATTTGTCCCACCACAAAAATTGCATCTGTCTTGCCTTTCTCCGATTTAAAACTAAACTGTATTTCATCAATTTTAGTTTCTCTTATCCGCTTCTCTAACACCCTCTCAAATACCTTCATTGCATATTCCAAGAGTTTAATAACTCTGTAAGACCTGCAATCTAGAGGATCACCTTTCCCCTTGTATACTGGGATAATTATACTTCTTCGCCAGTCCTCGGGAATAGTTCTTTCTGTGACAATTTGATTGGCTAAGTTCATTAACCATTCAATCCCCAAATCATCATAACCTTTAATCATCTCTGATACCACCCTCTTTAAACCCGATGTCTTCCCTTTTTTCACTGCTCTCTTTATTTCGTCCTTGCTAAATTTACACCCTGGACCTTCTACCTTTGCACAACTAACATTATTAACCCATTTATTTTCTTTGTTCAAAATTCCAGGTGTTCTTAATACCACTACCACCAATCACCATTTTTCCTTCCATATTTTTCAAACATTTAACACCTACCACATCCTGCTTATTTTTTGCTATTCGAACCACATCTCCCATTCCTTCAGTGCATTCCATTTCTTTAGCAAAGTCCTGCCTTTTTGCGCCTTCGCTATTAATTTCTTAGCATTTCTTTTCGCCATTTTGTAAATATCGTTAACACTATCTTTTTTACTATTTTACCATTCTTTGGAGCACCCTCCTCATCCACAGCTTTCGCTACCTCCGGGTGCCACCATCAAGTGACCTTATATCTAGGCGGCCTGTTCATCCACTCCTCAGTTGTCAGTCTTTCTTCATGGCTTCCAACTTGTCATTGACCCCAAATGCTTTTGCCTCCTTCGCCTCCCTTATCGTCAATGTCATATTGAATTGACATCTATCACTCCTCCTTCAATTTCCAAACCTTCAGCCTTGGTACAAACTTTCTTTTAGTGATCATGGCGCCTTTAAAAGTGAGATATCCTATAACTAGTCAATGCTGATTAATACATTCCTCTCCCGGTATCACTTTCACATTTTTTACCATACATCTATCACATCTCCTTAATAACAAATAATCCACTGAATTTTTGGTACTACCCGACTTATAAGTTATCAGATTCTCTGATTTTTTCTTAAACATTATATTACTCTGAATCATATCCATAGCATTACTAAAATCTAAAATTCTCTCCCCTTCCAGATTTATCTTGCCGTAACTGAATCCTCCATGTACTCCTTCATAACCCTCACTACTCTCTCCCACATGTCCATTCAGATCATCAGCCAGGATAATCCCCTTTTCATTTGCCAGTCTCATCGCCTCTAACTGTCCAAAAATATATCTTTCACTTCTTCCAACTTGATGAACATATGCCGAGATAATAGTATATAGCTTTCTACCAAAAATCATCTTGATAACCATTATATGGTTTCTAGCCTTCTCACTTCGACTACTTTGTCCACCAATTTCTCCACAACCAATACCCCAACTCCAGCCTTACCATCATTACTTCCTTGCTAGAAGAATTTATAATTTTCACTAGTTTTGCTAATCATTCTTGCGCCATTACCTTTCCATCTGGTCTCCTGTAAGTAGCTCACATTTATATGCTTTCTTTGCAATACATCGACCACTTTCCCCTCTCTTCCCGTCATACCTTCAACATCTATGTCGCGACCCTTATTCAATCCCCCGTAAACCAGTTTTTACACTTATTATCAGATGACCGTCATATGTTTCATTTTCATGAATCGTGGTTCCACCAGGTTTCCCATCCTCCTTTTGTCATAGGCGTATGAGGGAGGCCCACGGGATATTTGGGCTGTACCCCTCCCATGCTTTGTTATAACCATAGGGAAATTTTGTAGCAAAGTTTTTACAATCGGACGCTCTTCCTGACATCAACCCCTTTAAGTGGTTTTTACACCCCGTCGAGGAGACGGGGATCCTATTCTAGACCCAGATCTTAGGGAACCTTTTATACCTCCATTAGCCGCCAAAAGACGTTGCCACTCCCCGCCACGATGAGGCTGAAGTTAGGATTTTGGGAGACTAGCTGAATTAACTGGTTATATATTTTTAAATCCTTTTCTTGTTGCAGATAATATAACATAAAATAATATCAAATTATTAGCTACTCTATCTTTTAAAATAATTGGATTTTTTTTAAGATTGCAAATAAATCGATTCTTAATAAAATAAAAAATATTTTATATACAATCATTAATAACTAAAAACAGTAAAAATATCGAATCGGTTAATTTTTTAGCTTGATTCTATATTTTTAAAAACCCGAAATATCTGCTCCGATCGTATATTTATTATTGCCACAGCCCTTTTTAATATTATATTTTCTTTATCAATAACGAGGTTATTTCTCTATCTAAAATACAATTATAATGATGATATTTTCACCATCAATCTCTAGGCTCTTTTAATATTTTATTTTAAAACATAAATTTAACTAGTGCTATTAGGTAACGTCAAAAAATAACGGCGTTACCTTTTTTGAAGAAAATACGCCATTCGTTACCTTCTTCTTAATGGTAACGCGTTTCTTTTTTTTGAGTAACGGCAACAAGAAACGTTGGTCGTTACCTCAAATTTTTCTATTTATTGTATTATAAATTATTTTTATTTATTTTTTAAGTTGTAGAAATAATTTAAGCCGTGTTTTTAATTCACATCAACCATTAAATTCTTTCATTATTTAAAAAAAATTTGTTGTTAAATGTTCGTCAAGATTGTTAATCTAATTTATATTAAATCAATCAATGATGTAAATTTATATTCTTATTAATATCATAATTTATTTTATAAAGAATATTATGTCAATTTTACATATTTCTTCAGATGAAGATGATTTAACTTGCCCTGGCCATAATAGGAAACATTTTTTACACCAATAAAAAAAATTTTCCTCAATTGTAGAATAAACATGGGCAGTGAAACTGTGAAGCCATTTTTAAGAAAAAATGAGAATATATCTGATTAAACCGGTTATTACAAGATGGAACTCTAGAATGATCATAAATTTGCCGAATCTTGTGATAAATACAAATTACAGAGATTTTCAGATAATGACAATTCGTTCATAGATGAATATTATATGCTATGATTTTATAGATTATGGAACCTGTTTCTGCGGCTCTTTCAATCTTAGAAAGGGAAGAAAAGATGCATTTGGGATCTCACTCCGATAATAATTATAATATTAAAAACATGGCTTTAAATAATTTCATTTTATAAGCCACTTATTAATTCAATTTTGCAAGGCAAAGATAAAAGCTATACAGTGGAAGTATTATTTGCAATTTATATTTTTATAATATTTTATTTCTATTGTATATTATCAGCAATAATTCACCTGCTATTTAATTCAGATTGGCCTTTGTAAAACTAGATGTTAGCGAAGGAAGGAAGCTTGAACTTATTTCCTGTTTGAGAAAAGATCTATACTTGATTCCTTTAAAAAACAACACACGCACAGATTATTTTCTAATAAAGATAAAAAAAATTGGATAAATTTCTGAAGGAAGATTCTTTTGACGATAAACTAAGATTTTTCAAAATAAAGATTATTCTTTAATTTTTATTAAATTCTCTCAATTAAAATGTATATTTATCCAATATAATATAACTCTCCCATCCTCTCCGCAAATTGAACATGTGTTTAGCACAGCGAAAGCTATTTTGATCACTAAGCATCTGATCAATTTATAAATAAATAAGAAATATCTTATCTTATTATATATTATTTTTATATCAATTTTATTTATATTATATATATAATGAAAGAAATTTTTTATGTATACAATATTTAATTTTTTAAGTAACGAATAAGACGCGCGTTCCTTTTTTCAGACATATCGAATAATGCGTTTTTTTTTGAAATAACATTTTACAATTTTTTTTGACAAATAGGAATAATAATATTTAAAATTTTAATGAGATTTTATAATTAAAAAAGAACAAAAAAATAATTTTAAAAATGATGAATGAAATAGAATGCATAATGTAAATTAAAAAATTTAATTGCATGTTAAAACAAAAGAAGGAACAAATATTTTATTATGTATTACAAATAATATGTAAAGCCTCATTTAACATCTTCACCTTGGCACTTACAGCCTTGCAAAACGAAGCTAAAAGCGGGTGGGAACCTAGTCACGGTTCTAAGCAAAAGTTGGCTCAATTTGTTCAAGATTTACTTGCATCGAAAGCCGATATGCTGGAAGAATATTTTTCCTTCCGTATTTCAAGATATAAAAAAACATATGGCAAGTAGTATTTATTTTATTACTATAATTTTTATAATTATAATCGTATTACAATGAAGCTATATGACAAATTTTTGATAGTAATTTTTATATCATAATTTAAAACATGGTAGATGAATAATTTATGTGAAAAAAACATAGCAGAACGATTTTTAACATAGCATTTAAGCCATACCCATTTTGTTAAATCTGAGACCTGCAAAATCTATTTTTTGAATTTAGCCCGGCTCCACCCACATTCAAAATTTTTATGATTTTAAGCTCCAGTTTTTTAAATTTAGTCATTTTTAATAATATAGTCTGTATTTTTTTAAACGATTTAAAAGGATATCTAAAATATTGTGATCAATTCCTTGGTTTAATAGTAGAATTTTAATATCCGGGTTTAATTTTTTAAATATTTTTAGAACCGACTCGGGTTTTTTAAATCCGGGGTTAGGGTAACACCCACCTACTGCTTGATTATGGAAATAGAATGTTAAATAAATGATTAAGAATAAAGCTGGGATTAAAGAGGAGGATAAGTGATTAACCATAGTAGGTATAGTATATCAACATAATAATGTTCACGTTGAGTGTTACATATTTTGAGTATTAGAACCTTAAAATCAAATGGATTATACCTAGAGAGTGGCAGGGCCGGGCAGGCTTTATAATTAGAAGGGGGGAATTTATTATTTTTTTATATCATATTTTATATTAAATAGAGTAATCTCAAGTTATTGCTCTAATTTTTTGAAATTTATTTTATAACATTGAAATAGAGAATAAAATAAATATTTTGAGTTTGAAATTTATTCCCTATATGCTTTTTTAAAAACTACATAATTTAAATGTATTATTTAATTCCTGTTATTAGATGCAATGGAAACACAAACAGATGAAGACAAAGATGAATATTATATAGATTCCTTTCCAATGATTTTGCCTGGTGAATACGAATTCAAGCACACAAGTTTCTTTAAATTTTTATTCATTATATAATTTTATTATGAATGATTATTATTGTAACTTTCGCCATATTTAAAGGCCTTTAATTTCAATTGATTAAAATATAATAGCATGATTATTTTAGGATCTACTGTATCGGAAATTGATTTAAAATATTATATAATCTACACCCGCATCCCAGGCAAAGAATTTTTATATTTAGGTCCGACCCATATCAGCCCATGGCCCGAAAGATTATTGGGAAGAAATCTCAAAAAAAAATTATTCTCGATTTTAATTATTCATTAAGTTTAAATATTCAGCAATAACTTTGATAATTTAATTAAGTTTATATAATTTATTATAGAAATATTATAAGAGTAAATATTTTTCCACCTTATTTTTTTAAATTCTTATATTTTTAATTCATTTTATTGTGATATTCAATAAAAAGAAAATTTTACATTAATATTTTTCGGGCCGCTGATAAAACTGGGCCTATATTTTATTAATATGTTATCACCTACCAAACTGACGCTTATGTTTTTTTAAATTGTTATATTGGCCAAGGCTGCATTTATAGCAGGGAACCAAACTGTAACGAATTGCGGGTTATGTTTAGGTTCGGATAAAAATAACGATTCGAGCTAGATTTGTAAAAGTATTACTAGAAGTTCGGTTTAAACTTTTAAGAATTGATTAGAACTTTTATTCATGCACACTAATTAGGATTATATAAAGAGAAGCACATTTTAAATTTTATCACTTCCCTAAAAAACAGAGTTGTTAAAGTATCTAGATATAAAAATATGGTATCTGTATCTAGATAGATTTTTGATTAAAGTATCTGTATCTAGATATTATTTTAGAGGTATCTGTTTTTAGATATTTTTTAAGATATATTTTGAAATACTTTTATTTAACGCTTTTTTATATTATAAAAAAATATACTTGAATGTAAAAATTATTTTATTTCATATGAGCATATAACTTAATATTAATATATATTAAAAAATTATATATATATATGTAAAATATTAAAACTTGTATATAAAAAAGAATATATAAATATTAATTAAATATTATGTCCGAGTTATCAAAAACAAGCAAATTCTGATATTACAATCCATCTCAAGGAATTTGCCATTTTTAATTGCAATGGAATTGGTATTTTATTTTATTCTATTCTATTAATTTTTCAGATTAACATTGAGGACGAAAATGACGACATTCCATGGCCAATTTATAAACCATATTTTAAAATAATATCTCATAATAAAGAAAACAAATCTTTAGTAAAATGTTTGCCATGTTTACCAAAAAATATACAAATTTCTGTTAGCATTAGCTTAACTTGTAACATTGTAAAGCATTTAAGGGTATAGATACTAAATATATGTTTACAATTTTAAATTTTAAAAGAAAACATCAAACACTCCTAATCCAAATAAAAAAGGGGGAGGAGAAAAAATCTATTAAGGAAAATATTGGACTAGGTTCATCGTCCATTGATTTCTTTTCCAAGAGACCTAAGATTTTAACCCAAGCCATTTTAGATGATTTAATAACCGATTTTATTATTGATAGCATTCAGCCATTTTCAGTTGTTGAAAATCCATCATTTATAAAAATGATCAAAACATTAGATCCACGAAAAAATATAATTTGCTGACAGACAGTGGTTGATAGAATTTCCCAAAAAAGAAAGAAATTAAAAGTCTAATAGAACCATCGTTAATATGCACAACAGCAGATTGTTGGAGTGCCTATCGCAGGTAAACATTTAAATTTATATAATAACTTAATTACAAACAAATTATTTGAGCAGTTTTAAGAAATGTTAATTTTTAATTCATACATAGGAGTCACTGCACACTATATAGATCCAACAAGTTTGGAAAGAAAAAATGTAGCGTTGGCTTGTAAAAGAATGACTGGTAGTCATTCATATGATAAAATAGCAAAAAATTTACAAGATATAACAAAAGATTATTGCATACAAAATAAAATCTCAAAGACCATTACTATGCCAAAAACTTTATCAATAGCACAACATTGTCTAAATGCCAAAATATATGGAATAGACAAAATAAATCTCAAAATTCAGCTGAGATTATAAAAAACAATATTGGCTGATATTTTATATGTCCCAATATAACTAGACTAGATGGAACTCCACTTATAATGCTTTACAATTAATGTCAGAAATTATTAAGACTAAATTTGAAAAATTGGACAAGATTTGCGATGGAATAAAATTACCTAGATTTTTATCTAATGAATGTGATTTTATTCATGAATATTGTTTAGTTATAAATAAAATTTGTATATACAGCATTATTTTAAATTAGCTAATGAAGCCGGTAGCAAGTTCACTTGATATCCTGCAGGGAGATAAATATATGTTCACAGCTTATTACTGTGCAACTATTTCCCAGCTCATTGTTAAATTGAAAAATTTTAAACAAATGAACCTGGAATTTTGTTTACCACTCTTAAATGCCTTACTTAAAGGGATTGAAGATAGGTAAACTAATAATAAATTAATCAATATTTAATAATTCTAGGTTTATTGGGACAATTTTTGAAGATGAAAATATTTTGGATCCTTTTTTTAAACTAGATTGGACATGGTTGCAAATGGATGAAAATTTTAATTAAAAAACAATTAATACAAAGATTAGTTGAAGAATTATCAAAGTTTTCAAATAAGTGCAAATTAACCTGTGAAAAAAAAACCAATAATTTAATATCCGATTTTTTTTCAATATCCCACAGCAGGAGATATGATTGTTAATGATTTAAATTCTGATAATCAACAAATTTTAAATAGTTTTTTCAAAAATGAATGCCGAGATTTTAGTATTTTTAAACAATATCCTGATATAAAAATGTTATTCATTAAATATAACACCACAATCCCTTCCAGCGCCCATGTTGAAAGACTTTTTAGTATAGCTAAAAATGTCTTTATAGATAAACGAGGATGTCTTAATGACCAAAATTTTGAAAATATTTTATTATTATTTATAATCATTTAATCATATATTATATTATTTTATTAATGATATATAATAATTATTTATATTAATATCTAAAAATCATTATTTTAGTTATATTTTGATAAATGTGATATCGAGTCAATAAATTTTTTAGATCATTTCATGAATTTTCACAATAGAATCCTAATTTAGGTTTATTCAAACCTTATATAAGAGTATAATAAAATATTTGTACCTAAATTCATTTTAAATTGTATCTGTATCTAGATAACTTTTTAGAATCTGTATTTAGATAAATTTTTAGACTATGTATCTGTATCTAGATCCATTTAAAAAGTATCTTTTAACAAATTTGTTAAAAAATAATAAAATATTTTCAAAATTTTCTTCTATCAAATTATATCTATAAAGTGAAATAATAAATTCTTTGGTTGAGAACATTTCTCTATGCTAAATTAGGTAGCTGATACTGTCAAATAGCAATATACAAAAATATCTAAAAATAATAACTGAACTTATTAATCAAAATTGTTTATTGATAATCTTTAAAAGTATTAGGATATCAAAAGGAATCTGGTTCTCATATTCGGTTTAGGTTCTGTAAATAATAACGGTTAATATTTCAGCTTTATAGGAAACTAGAAAATAGGGTCATATCGCTCTCCATAGCAATGTATTTGCTTTATTTGGTCTTACATTGTTATAGAAAACTATATCGCGCTCACTTAAACTCAGAAGTCTAACTTAATCTTTACCACAGATGAAATTAGAATCTTTATTTCTATTATAGTTGGGCAATATAATTAAATAATCATATAACAGTTTAAATTTAAGAAATAAAATATAGTATAATCGAATAATCTAGCATTCATACTGATATTCCCTCAATTTATAAATATTTATGGCTTTAGACCAAATTCCACCTGACGATCCCAAAAACAAGGATAAAGAGAAATTTAACCCGTTAATCGAGCTCAAATTATTGGACGAATTGCCCTTTTTAGTTCTAAGCTTAGCCACTGAAGTTGAGTGGGATAATGAAAAGGAATGTTTTCAAACATTTGCCCATCAAATTGCTAATTTTTTTGCTGAGAAATGGACCTTACCTTTTAGCACATCCGAAGATTCAAATGGTTTTATTAATATTTTTTTCTTCTGAAAATTTTAAAACTGCAGAAAATGTAAATATAATATATACTATATCAGAAACCTACAGAGGTACCATTTGCAGGGCCTGGCCATTTTTAAAGATATATTATATTAAATTTTTATAGATAATAATGGCGATTTAAAATATTTGGTTTTAAATATAAGGCTCAGCCCGGGTATTTAAAAAAGAAATGCCCAGCCCGGGTATTTAAAAAAGAAATTTTTTTTAGGAACAGCCCTACCCGGGTATATTTAAAAAAATTAAAATATGGCCCGGCCCTTGTACCCAGGTCGGGTTTATGGCTGGACCTGCAGGTAGTCTTGTAAACGGCTAGGCCGAGTCCACTTAGCTACGACTTGAGTCTAGTTTCTAGTCGATGAAACGACTCCAACTCAATACTAAATGAACCGCATTAGTCAACTCGCTGGGTCTGCTTAATTTTCTTTAAATTTTTATTTATAAGTAAATTATAATTTTGATATTTATTTTTTTTACATGTATTATGTAAAACGACTCCATTCGAATCGATTTTTATATGTCTGGTAAATTACTAAATTTTGGGTTACTGATTAATGTGAACAAAAATTATAATAAGAATATTTATGTAGAAGCTAAGAATGGTTGGATTTTAGACTTAATTTGGGGGAAATTTTGATAACATGAAATTAATAAGCCGACTCAGGAGTTGGCTCAAGCCGTTGGTTCAAGCTGGCAAGGAGTTGGCTCAAGTCAGCTCAAGAATTGGCTCAAGCTGACTTTTTAGTCGAAATTTATTTATTTGTGATTAGTGTTTTCAAAATGCTTAGCCAAGTCGCCTTAGCCCTAAACTCAGCCAGTTTTTGAGTCGTAGAATTGAGTCAGGTCATTGAGACATATGAGTCGGCTGGCTCAGAATTTGGCTCAAGCCAGCTCAGGAGTTAGCTTGAATTCAATTTAGAGCCGAAATTTATATATGATTGACACATCTTAAGAATATAATTATGTAATTATTGTTCTACCATGCATTTATTATTTATTTATTTTTAGTAAAATAATTTATTTTATTTATATTTTATCTTAATATTTTTATTTATTTTATGAAATGAAATATGATTATATTATGAAAATGGATTTATTTCTGTTTTTTTAATAAAAAAATGATATGCTATATTGTAATATTTTTTATGTTACAATTTAGTGATTTTCAGGCCCAAAACTTTAAGCAAAAAATATTTTTTGAAGTTCAAAAAGATTTTTGAACATATTTTTTTTTTTAAATATTTATATTAAACTTTTTTATGTTATTTTATTTGATCTTTTTAAGGATAATATTTTGTCATATTCGTCATTTTTTAACATTTTTGACACAAATGGCTAAAAATTAAATTTATATTGTAAAGATGTTAAATTATAAATTCAATGAAGATGTTCCTTGGAAAAATGACAATTATCATATGGGCAAAACTATGTATTTTTAACATGTTAAGTTAAAATTTCATTTAAGATACCATATAAAAGTGACAATTGTCATAATAGTTATTTTTAAAGTTTTTTTGACCCAAATGTGCAAAATTATAGATTATAAAAATGATAAATTAAAATTTCATGAAGATGTAGCACAGAAAAGTGACAATTGTCATAATCGTTATTTTTAAAGTTTTTTGACGCAAATGTGCAAAATTATAGATTATAAAAATGATAAATTAAAATTTCATGAAGATGTAGCATAGAAAAGTGACAATTGTCATAATCGTTATTTTTAAAGTTTTTTGAATTTTTTTGCAAATGGGTAAAAATATAGATTGTAAACATGTTAAATTAAAATTTTATGCACCATAGAAAAGTGACAATTGTCATAATCGTTATTTTTGAAGATTTTATATTTATTTGACGTAAATGTGCTAAAATAAGTATTGCTAACATGCTTAAAAACGTCAGTGAAGAAGTACCCTAGATAAGTGACAATTGTCATAATCGTTATTTTTTAAGTTTTCCAATTTTTTTGAAGGGGTAAAAATATAGATTATAAACATGTTAAATAAAAACATGAAGATATATCATAGAAGTGACAATTGTCAATCGTTATTTTTAAATTTTGTGAATTTTTTGACGCAAATGGGCAAAATTATAGATTGTTAACATGTTAAGATAAAATTTCAGTGAAGATGTACCATAGATAAGTGACATTTGTTATAATCGTTATTTTTAAAATTTTTTGACGCAAATGGGTAATATAATAGATTGTAAGCATTTTAAATTAAAGGCTCATGTGTTTATTTATAACTACAAATAAATATATTAAAAAAACTACTATTCCGCCGGCACGAGCCTTATTTTTTAAAAATATTTTAGGTTCTGGCCTTATATTTTCTATACAGTTTATGACCGTGCCGAACTTAAATTTTTAATTATCATTACATTTTGTTATTGATATATTAAACTTGTAGAAACAAGGCGTTAATATTCTTTTACTGCATAATATTTTTTAAAGCTTCTAAATGAATAAGGAATTCACTGCAGAATCCTAGTATATATAATTTTGTTTATTAAAGACCATTTAGTTAAAATATCTATTTTATATCAACTTATTTAAAAAATTTAAATAAAGACGCATTTTTTTTACTAAATATAATCTTTATTTATGAAATAACATACACTTTATATTATATAATATATACATGAAATATGCTGAAATATTATACATTTCCACAATCTTCCTTTAAATAAAAAATAAGCATTGTTTGAGAGTTGTAGACGACATTCTATTTTGTATTTTTTGTAAGGGTATCGGCAGCTCTGAAAAATAATCTTTAGCTGGCAACCTATGTTGTTTTTTGATCTAAATAATCTTTAACATGTTTACAATTTATATTTTTACCTGTTTGCGTCAAAAAACTTAAAAATAACGATTATGATAATTTTCACTTATCTATGGTACATCTTCACTAAATTTTTAATTTAACATATTTACAATGTATATTTTTACCCATTTGCGTCAAGAAACTTTAAAAATAACGATTATGAAAATTGTCACTTTTTTATGGTACATCTTCATGAAATTTTAATTTAACATGTTTACAATCTATATTTTTACCCCTTTGTGTCAAAAAAAATCAAAAACTTTAAAAAACGATTATCACAATTGTCACTTATCTAGGGAACATCTTCACTGAAGTTTTATTTAAACATGTTAGCAATACTTATTTTAGCTCATTTACGTCAAAAACTTAAAAAATAACGAATATGACAATTGTCACATTAAAATATTATCCTTAAGAAGATCATATAAAATAACATAAAAAAGTTTAATATAAATATTTTAAAACAAATTATTTAGAAAAAATCATTTCTTTTAATATACTTAAAAAATAGATAATTTTACAAAAAGGATAGGATTTAAAAAAACTATTAAAGATTTCAACTAATATATTGTTTATTTATAATAGAATACACAAAAGAATTCCTTAAAAAAGATTTATTTACGAAGATTTCAAATTCTTATCAACAAAATATGTTCAAAAATCTTTTGAAACTTGAAAAAATATTTTGGGCGTGAAAATCACTAATAAATTGTAACATAAATAATATTACAATACTGCATATCATTTTTTTTATTAAAAAAACATAAATTCCATTTTCATATTATAATCCTTTTTCATTTCATTTCATAATATAATAATATAAATAAAAATTAATTTACTAAAAATAAATAAATAATAATTAATGTTCAGCAGAACAATAATTACATAATTATATTCTTAAGGTGTGTCAATCATATATAAATAAATTTCGGCTCTAAATTGAATTCAAGCTAACTCGTGAGCTGGCTTGAGCCGGACTCAACTGGCTAATAGGATTAAGCCACTTGGCTCAGCAGTTTAACAACACTAATCACAAATAAATAAATTTCGGCTCAAAAGTCAGCTTGAACTAATTCCTGAGCCTGCTTGAGCCAACTCCTGAACTGGCTTATTAATTTCATGTTATTCCATCAATTTAAGTCTAAAATCCCTGAAGCAGAATTTGGGTCCAGGACCATTCTTAGTTTCGTCATAAATATTCTTATTATAATTTTTGTTCAAATTAATCAGTAACCTAAAATTTAGCAGTTTGCCAGACATTTGAGTTAGCCGTTTATAAAAATTGACTCGAATGGATTTGTTTTACATAATACATGTAAAAAATAAATATCAAAAAGTTATAAATTATAAATAAATAAAAAATCTAAAAAAATTGATTAATTTTAAAAAAATTTAGTTCAGATTTAATCAGACATTTTTAAAAAAAGGGTCACAGGTATTTTTTTTAAAAATATTTTTGATTGGGCTGAATTTAAAAAAAAAGATGAAATATTTTAATATAAGTTCATTTCATAATTTCCTCACACCATTTTTAAAACTTTTTATAATATTACTCTCCTTTTTTAGATTTTATTAAAAAAATAAATATTTTTAACACTAACAAAAGTATAAATTAATAAATACAAATATAAATCATTTTTTAAAATAATTTATATAATTATTACCTAAACATATAGCATAATTATTGATAATATAAAAACGATTGAATTAATTAACCTTGATGAACATGGTCTTTCCAATAATACTGGAAGCAATATCAACACGGTAACAAATTATGAAATGTCTGTTTCAATTATTGCAAAAGCTTATAAAATATAAAGGAAAAACAAGATTTCCTCGTTTCAATCATTATTAATAGGTTCCATTCACTTTAATATAAAGAGCTGCATTAAAATATTTAAACTAGATCATCAAATATTTTGTCAATAATATTAAAAATTTATTTTAAAGATAACCTGTTAAAAATTAAAAGTCTTTATAAATAATAATATATCGAATTTAAAACTGTTGCTTTTTGGACCAGTTTAGCTCAAGTTCTTCTTTAGGATAGCCCATTTTATTGATGACAATTTTAAATAACATAGTACAATAAAAACGAATTATTCGAATAATACAAATAGTAAATTTTACTATAATACTAATTATTCGATAAGACTTCGAATTGAAAAGAATGATAAGCATAGAATGGAAAATCCTATTAAGAAATCTTATTCACTGCTCATTTTGTCAGAACAATATTTCAATGCCCGTCCTTTATTAAAATATTTTTAACCAGCTCTCCCAATTTAGCCCATCCATTACAGACCTTTTAATATATATCTCGCATATCCAATAATATTATTGTTTTTGATTGCTATTATAAAATAAGGAAAACTTTTACGAAAATAAGAATCTTATTTTAATTCTTGGAGTTTTTTAGTAGTTTCTAAGTGCATTTTTACTGTCCTGTATGGACAATATTAAATCTTTTTTCCACTTGGATGTCCTGGCTAAACCGAAGCATCTAGCAGCCTTAAAATCTATCATTTTTTTATAATGATATTATATTATAGTTTATAAAAAATTAATTTATTATACATTTCCCCATAAAACTCTCATTTAGCAAGAATATTATTTTTTAGATTAAATTACAAATACAAATGAATAAAAATTTAGATTAAAAGATTTTTATTGTGCACATAAATTAAAATTAATAAATATATACTTCATTACTTTTTTTTTAAAAATAATAGAAAATTTTAGACATCTGAATAAATATAAATAGAATAGAAAAATAATTCCCCTTCATTCTTGACAGGCTATCAGCTAGTAATTTATATTAGATATAAAAAAATATTTTTTAATTTTGTTATAATTAACAGAAGATAGCGTGAGAATTGTTTGTGAAAGGGTTCTCTACCCAGCCATGAAGAAGCATTTGATATTACCCTTAGAAAATATAGGTAAAAGCATCAATTTAAATAATGATTCCAAACACCAAAACAATTCAAATACAACAGAATGTTTTTTAATTAAAATCGCCGATGTTAAGGATTTATACAAAATTTTTGAAAGATGCTAAATTGTAAAGTTTTTTTTAAAAAATATTCACTGCACGCACTTTATAAATGTATAAAGTTTTATAAATATAATTGATATTTTAAAATGAACCTCCATACTATGACTTCCTCAATCTATTTTAACCAGGGATGTGACCCCGGAGAAATATTAACTGGGTTCGGTTCAAGGTAAAAAATTTAAGTGGGTTCGAGTTCGTTTCAGGGTAATATATTTGAACTCAAAATCAATAATTAAAAAAACTAATCAAAAATTTGATATAAAAAATAAAATTATTTTATTTATAGGCAAAATGAATACAAAGCATAATCATGTATCTTTCTAAATTTTCATACTTATTCTATATACAATTAATTTATACTTCTTACTCTAACACTTAAACAAATTTCTTACAATAATGACACTTGAAACTTTTTCTAAGTTCATTTTTATTAATTTTGTATTATACCTAAAAATTAAGAAATCTTTATACATTAAAATTAAGAATTTGTTCTTTATAAAAAAAATAGAATATTAAGAATTTGTTTTTATGCATCAGAAAAAATAAATAGAGTATCAGAATTTGCGACGATGAAAATTATTACAAAAAAATAATGATTATCATTTTGTTCTAATAACAATATTTTTTACCAATCATCAATATCTAATATTGTTAATTGACATTTTTGTATATATATATACAAATGTTTGTAAAATAAGCGAGGCGATGACATGCCACCCCTTTATGGGTCAGAGGCATTCATCCCCCAAAAAAGAAAATTTATATAATATCTATTAACTATTTAAACAATAAAGACATTACAAAATATTTTAAATAATTAAACCGAGAGGGGTTTTCCTGATTACATTTATGTTCATGGTTAGGAGAAGTATCAATATTATGAGAATAATGGCTATGGTATTGTCATTCGGCGTTAATAATATTAGTGGAGCTATCATCAATAAAGTCAGATGAAAAGGTCAACGATCATATTATATTGTTCCCAAACTTTCGGGCTAAACGATTATGCTCCATTGACGTTTTCGTTGGCTTGATCACTAGCTTGCAAAGACGCATCATACTGATAATGGGAATACATTTTTTTTAAACTATTACTATTTATTTCAAGAATTAAGGAAATTTTATGTTGGCATTCTTTGCGATTAAAATTGATCAAAGGGATGAGAATGGTATGGTAGTATATATATCAGAACGACTTTCATTTTACAATTTAATAAAATTTTTTATTTATTTTATGGATTTTTAATGCTGATAATCTGTGAAAAAAAAACTGCCAATTATTTAATTAATAATTTACAATTAATAAATCTCCTGCGTAAAAATTTTGTAAAAAAATATAAAAAAAATAAAATTATTATAATTTCTCTGTTGGAGAATATACATAACCTATGCAAAGAAAAAGGGGGGAAAAAAATTTTTTTTAAACAAAAACTACTAACGCGGACATATGCATCACCATGTTTAATTATTCTTCCTCCCAAGAATTACTCAAATAATTAAACATTTAAGACGCAATCCTTTTTCCCTTTTTCTTTTGCGGTAAATCTCACAATTATAAAAAAAAATAAGTGTGGACCAAAAAAAATACAAAGGCAGGGAGGGGGGAAAAAATTTTCTTCCGATGGCATTCATTGTACCATTGTTATTGGTTAATTACCGACATTATCAATAAAAAAAAATCCTCTTTTTAAACAAATGTTATTAAACTGGTCATTCCCGAATCAATGAACTCATCAATATATCACAAAGATATTCCATTCCAAATCAACAAACTTACCAACGTATCACAACGATACTTTATTTTTTAACAAATGATATGTACAGCCATAATACAAAAACGTCATTTTCCAATCATTAAAATCGTCAATATATCACAAAAACATTCTCCTTTCCCTTCTTTTTTTTCAGGTTTTTGTTTTTAAGTGATCATTATGCCACACCACAAGAACCCCCTTTTCTAAATTGATATAATTTAATTTCGACCCACATTCTGTATTATATTCCCCTTTTCCCATTTTTTATTCTTATTTACAAATAAACGCGTGCATACCTTTTGTCTCACCGGAAACTTTCTACTTACTTTTTCACCCGGTAATACAATATCATTGCCCTTGGGTTTTAAAAAATCTAAGGGCCCTCGGGTTAATCTACCCAAAAACAATTCCATAGGAGTAACACCTTCTCGATTTCGAGAATTTAGATAATATAATTAAGACATGTAAGCCTCATCTTTATGATTTCCAGCCTTTTTAATCCAATTTTTAACAATTGCTACTATCGCTTAGCTTGTCCATTCGAGCTGGGATGATAAGGTGGAGTAAGAATAAATGGGTCTGTAACTCAGCACATAACTGTTTAAACTCATCACTTATGAAGGCTGGACCTCCATCAGACACTATTGTATTAGGTGAACCGAATCGGGCATATAATTCTTGTAATTTCTTAATTACAATTTTTGTGGTATAACCATTTATCTCTGCATATTCTATCTACTTTGAATATGAATCCACCATCAAAAAGTATGGTTTTTTATTGAAATCGATGTGGAGACGTTCCCATGGCTTCTTTGATTTGGGCCACATTTGACCTACTTCTTTACGTGGCATAGATGCACAAGTATTATATGGAACACATTTTCTCCTAATTTTTTCAATATCACTACCCATACCAGGCCACCATACATATTCACGAGCTCAAGATTTCATTTTATCTCGATCCTGATGTCCGGCATGTAATAGATCCACAATTTTACTACGCAATTTATAAGGAATTACGACCATATTTCCCCACATAATACAATCATCTTCCATGGACAATTCCTTTCTTATAAATTTTACAATTATTTTTCCACGGTTTTTTTTCCCGTTAAAAATAATTTTATTTGACTCGATTCTTTATCTTTTAAAGTATTGAATTTAAGGTCTTCCCAATATGTGGGACCATTTTAGCATTTGTGAAAGAGAACGCACTAATGCTGTCTCTTTATCCATTACTTTATCTTTATTAGAGTCGAGATTTTCTTCACTCGATCCCAACCCAGTCAAAAAATTTTCTCTTCCTCGGCAATATCTAATTTCCACATTAAAACTTCCCACTAATAACAACCAATGTTGTAATCGAGGAGATAACATTAATTCCCGATTATCTTTTTTGAATAAATGAATTAATGGTTTATGATCGGTATAAATTACAAATTTTTTCCGATTAAATATTCCCGACATTTGTTAAACCAAAAATGACTGCCAACAGTTCCTGTTCAATCACGGAATATCGCGTTTCTACTTCTCGGAAAACTCAAAAAAAATAATTAGTCTTTCCAAACCATCAATTAAATGCAATAATGCAACTCCAACACCCTTGTTAGATGCATCAACCGCTAATATTATTTCTAAATCATTGTCAAAACACACCAAAATAGGTTCTTTCCCGTTTCAAATGCAATTTGCTGTTTCCCTGCCCATTCAAAAGGAACTCCCTTTTGTAATAATTTATATAAAGGTACGGCAATCCTTGAAAAATCATCCAAAAATCGATTGAACCTCCACTTTATTAGTTGGCGTCTACATATTCGATATATTTTTCATCCCATTAATTTGATGTCCCAAATAGACAACTTCTGTTACCCCAAGAACACTTTTCTCAGCTGGCCCTCAGATCTTATCACCAATTCTTTTGAAAACTTCTTCCAAACGGTGATTTTATTGTTCCGGTGTTACGCCCGTAATTAACACGTCCATATAATAAAAAACTCCTTCTAGGCCATGGAAAACTGATGCCATAATACGCTGAAAAATGCCCTGACACACTTAATCCAAACGGTAACCTACAAAAGGCATTAGGAGTCGTTATCGTAAATAATTTATTAATTTACTCCTTTAACGGTAATTATAAATATGCAAAAGATAAACTTAAAAATATTTGGCACCTTTTTAATTGGCCAAAATTTCTTAAATCCTAGGCTGGATATTTTATTTCCACAACTCCTGGATTTTTACACGAAAATCAGCACACATCATCAATTTTACATTATATTTTTTACCGGAACTAATGGTGTATCACATTAACTTCACCAGAATAATTATGACATCTTTGATCCAACTCCTCTTCGATTTCCTTTTCCCATTCAAAAGAAACTCGTCGACTTGCTAAAAAAAATAGGCGAAAAACCTTCTTTAAGTTTAACATCTACTTGATAATCATTTAGACGTCCCAACTTTTCCTCAAAAATTATACCATATACCATGTTTCCTAACTAACATACGTGTAGCATTACTAACTTTATTTAATTCATTATTTTAAAAATCAACAATTTGCTTTTCATTATTACAACGTTATTCTTAGAACTATCTGATTTACCAATTAATTCCTCAGAAATTTCACAAATACCAGAATGAAGGAGGGGGGGGGGGTGATTCACTTCCTCTCTTATCAAATCTGTTTTTTCTATTTCACGATTTTATTTTCGGATACTATCAGCCATAATTTTTTGTTTAGCCTTATTTAATGTAAAAATATTCCAATTAATATTAGGACCAAATTTGGTAATCCCATCCAATAATCGTTTCCACATTTTATTTTGACCACCAAATCAAGGAAAAATGTTATATCATCTAGAACCACTCCCAATTTGGGTTTACCCAAAACCGCAATTTCAGACCCATCAAATTGTCTGATACACAGACTCTTTTTCGAGTATACCCTCATGCCAATATTTATAATAATTTTCTCTAGACATTATGTAAATGCTAGCCCCCATATCAAATAACATCTCAATATATATCTGATTAATCCTAATTTAACTTGAAGATACGGACTCGCTCATCCAATTTTTCAGTCATTAAAATCTCATAGGTTTTAATCGGCTGATCTATATTTATTCTATCTGAAATATCAATTTTATTAGAATCTACATTCGAGCCTAAATTCAACTCGGAATTTAGAGGCTTTTTAACAACATTGATATGTTTTTTTTTAAATACCCATAGGATATTTTTCCCATTTAAAATTATTAGTATCCCTTTTATTCGGATATTTGACAATACACATAATATTTTCCCCATTTAAAATTTTTATAACTCCTTTTATTCGAATTATAATGAAAACTAATATTTTTTATTTCATCATCATGATAAAAAAAATTTCTATTAAAATCATTCCTTTCATGAGAATTATATCTCATTTTACTATTATTATATACTTTTTTACAATTTTGATCTCTCGGTATCTTAACTACTATATGATTACATCTGAGTGGATATTTCGGCACAATACCTGGCCACATGTCCCGA